TTGGCTCGGAAGTTTTCCCTTGTCGGACTCGGCCTCCATATTCCCAACTCTCGTGGCAAGTTGGCCCACTTGCGTCTCAAGACGCTTAATGGACGAGTCCTGGTTGGTGATAAACTGAAGGATCTTGTCTAGCTTGTCATCTTGGTTCGACGAGCTCGAACCGGACTCTTGGGTTTGTTGTTGTGGTTGCTGCTGTTGTTGGTAATTGGGACGAGGGATGAAATTGGGACGAGGTTGTTGTTGCATGAAGTTTGGGCGGGGTTGCTGTTGGTTGAAGTTTGGGCGAGGTGGCTGGAGAGTGTTGTTGTTGTTGGACCACGAGAAGTGTGGGTGATTTCTCCACCCCGGATTGTAAGTGTTGGAGAAGGGGTCGTTTGGTTGCCGGTTCTGATATCCTTGGAGAGCGTTGACGTCAGTGTATTGCTCTCCAATCTCCTGATCGAAAGCTGATGGGCACACCTCTGACCGATGTCCTTGGGCCCCACACGCCCCGCACGTGTCCACTGCCATAGTCTGGGCTGGTTGCATTGTCCGAGCATTCATCAACCGCATTTGTTCCGTAAGCTCGGCAATCTGATGGGCCATCATGTCTCGCCCCGAAGATACTTCATTTACCACTGCCCTCTTTCCCCGACTGCTCTTTTGAGACGAGCTAGAGCTCAACGCCTCAAAAATATCCATCATCTCCTCCGCTGTTCTTGCCCCAATGTCTCCACCCGCTGCATTGTCCACCATGTACTGAAGGTTCTGGTGGAGAGAGTCATAGAAGCCGTTCATCAGAAGGGCCGGAGGGAGATTGTGGTGTGGGCACTGTCTCTGTAGGTCCTTGAAGCGTTCCCACGCTTCGTGAAGTGGCTCGTTTGGTTGTTGAGCAAAAGAGACAATTTGGGACCGCAGCTCTTGAGTTTTTTGGTGGGAGTAATACCTCCCGATAAACTTCGTGTACACTTGCTCCCAAGTGGTAAGGGAGTCTGGAGCAAGTGTCATCAGCCATGCCTTAGCCCGGTCCTTGAGAGTCTCTGGAAAGCACCTCATCTTCAACTGATCCTCGTTCAGCCCGTGAAGTGGAAAGGTTTGAAGTACGTTGTAGAACTCTCGCATAAAATGGAGCGGATCTTCGTTTGGTAGGCCATGGAAAGATGGAAGTTGGTTGTAGTGGATGGTTTTGAGCTCATAATTTCGAGCTGCTGTCCCCAATCGTATGCACGAAGTCACCGGCCCAATTACCGGTTGAGCCAAATCGCGAAGAAGAGACTTAGCCGGATTGTTGACTTCTTCCTCTTGATCGTTCTGTGCCATATCGGTTTGGTCTTCTGATGTAGATGATACTGGTGCGAGACTATCTAGTAAGTCTCGTAGGTCCTGTTGAATGGATTCGTTGTCTGGAATGATTACACGACCACTCCTGGTACGCATAAACACACAACAACAAAAACGTCACGGGCACCAGATAGATACAAAATGAACGAGGAGAAATCAAACAAAGAGGACAGTAAAACTAGAAAAAGAAAACAAAACAAAAGAAACACAAGAAATCAAGAAATCACAGAAAATAAAAGAAACACTGAAAATAAATGAATAGGCGCACAAAATAAGTCCTAAACCTTCCCCGGCAACGGCGCCAATTTGTTGTAAATATTTTTAACCTAACCGGAGTAGAACCCAAAGATTCGACACCGGGTCGTGTCACAAGGAAGGTTAGCCGGATTATTTTGCACGGTTATTCAACACACGAAATGAGAAAAGAAGTCCTAAACATTCTAATTCAAGATTGATAGTTTGATTTAACGACTACTAATGGTAAAGCAAGTGATTATGAAAGCAAAACAATGAATTCTAAACTTATCAATTAAAACACAAATTCCAATAGTTTAAAGGGACTAGGGTATCGGGGACAATCGTATCCGGTTCTCAATACATTAAACGGGCAATCAATTACTCAGCTAATGAACAAACAATAACCAATTCATCTAGAAATTCATTCTCAATATCTCACGAAACAAGAGAATAAACATAAACGAGCAATTATCGAATTCATTAGCACATAGACAATACGTTACCGAACAAGTCTATTCTAAACAAGCCGAGGTCGATTGATTTCTCCCCTTTCGGTTCTAAAATCAATTAAGTAGATTAAATGATGATCAGACATTCAACCCTAGGTTAAGCTTAACTCATCTAGATCGAGCAATCAACATTCACATCAACGAAATCGAACCGGAACAATTATCCCCTAACCCTAGTTATTGAATTTAGCTACTCATAATCGATTCAACATCAACACATTCATTAACCCAAGCAAACATCATCATATCAAATGAGAAAGGAAATGCTTACGATTAACTTGAATCCAATGTCGAACAAACACAAGCAATCCGAAATCCAAAAGCTAGAAAAGGAGTTCTTCAATCCAAAAGCTAAACTCAAGATGAAAAATGCAAGAGAGAAATGTTCTAAGGTGAAAAGTATGTGAAAAACGAGGTCTGAATCCCCCCAAAAATGACCTAAGCTTCAGCAAATAACATTCCAAATTCGAAATCACGGAAATCGCGCAGCTGTTACAAAACAGACCTTAGCGGCGCTAAGGGTTCTTAGCGCCGCTAAGCCACCTTAGCGGCGCTAAGGTTCCATAGCGCCGCTAAGCCTTCATTAGCGGCTACTCTCTGGCCCGCTAAGACATAAAACGCCGCTAACCAACTGACCTTAGCGGCGTTAGGGCATCTTAGCGGCGCTAAGGGCTGGACAGCATCAAAAACTTCACATTACGGGCTTGTAAGCTCGGCTAGCGTCTCTCGGGTACTGCCCGAGCGGGAAACTCGATTCTCGTAAGTTTGAGCCCACAAATTGATGTTCGATCAACACGCTCTCCTTTCGACTGAATGCACTCCAATCCGAGCAACCTAAAACCTGAGATCACCACAACCGGAAAAACACGAAAAACAAAGAGAAAAAAGGAAGGAAAGCACAGAAAATACTAAACACACCGGAATAAAGATAAGAGCATAAGAAATGCCAAAGAGGACCAAAAATGCCTAAGAAAAGACCCAAAACGGGGGAAACGACACACAAAATAACAACAAAAATAGCAACAAAAACGGGACAAACAGTTTCTCCAACCTCTGTTCTTCCAGGCTTTGCAGTTTCTTTTGATATGCCCTTCTTCACCGCAGTGATAACACTTGAACTTTCTCCTGGGTTGAGATTGTGATTTATCTCTGGATTTGTTATCCCGGCCTCTGCTTTTACTTCTCCCCCTGGTTTCTATGAGCAGGGCTTGGGAACTGCTTGCCCCAGAGTCTTTTCTCCTTGTTTCTTCATTAAACATACTGTCTTTGACTTGGGTCAAAGTCAGTTTTCCCTCAGGGGCAGAGTTGCTCAACGAGACCACCAGAGTCTCCCAGCTATCCGGTAAAGAACTCAAAAGTAACAGCGACTGTAGCTCTTCATCAAGTTTCATTTCCATGGTAACAAGTTGGTTTACCATGTCTTGAAACTCATTCAAGTGCTCTGCAACTGATCTTCCATCCCGATATTTTAAATTTACAAGCTTTCTAATGACGAAAGCTTTATTCTGTGCAGTCTTCCTCTGGTACATTTGTTCAATTTTGTTCCACAGAGTATGGGCTTTCGACTCTGTGGCAACATGGTGGAATATGCTGATATCCACCCACTGTCGGATTAAACTGTCAGCCTTTATGTGTAGCTTTTTCCAATCGTCATCCTTCACGTCATCTGGCTTGTTGTCTCCCTTTTCTACAGGATCGTACATCTTGACCAAGACGGGATCACTCATCCGTCTCGGTCCTTCAATTTAATCACATATAGATCTCAGACATGGTAAATTATTAAAAGCGATGAAATACACAGTACATGGTCCCCACCTGGAAACTGGCGAAAAGCGAATGCTGAATATATCTGAAATGGGTAGCTGATGGAGGCTCGACTCTCCTCAAGCTACAAAATATATTGAGCGAAATATTCTAAGTACTAGGCTCAGAATAAAACTCAAATCTTTAATATCTTATATATCTAGGTTCGCTCACTCAGCTTTAAAAATCATTTTAGGGATTTTCGAGCTGATTTTGAAAATATTATCGTCGTTGAGGCATTCTAGAGTTCTCTGAAATATTTCTAAGTCTGGAACTAAAATCTGACTTAAATCTAATCTGACTGAAATCTAAACGATATATGAATCTTTAATCTATCTTGAATCTTAACTTTATCTGGAATTTATCTGAAATATAGATCTGAAATTCTATCTCTGAAATTTTATCTGAAATATATATCTGAAATTCTATCTCTGAAATTCTATCTGAAATATATATCTGAAATTCTATCTCTGAATTCTATCTGATATATATATCTGAAATTCTATCTCTGAAATTTTATCTGGTATTCTCTACGAACCATCTGGCCTGCCCGGACTGGTTCGACTGAACTGGACCGACGG